CCACGACTTCCAGATGAGTTTGTTTCTCACTCTAGCTTCCCACCAGCGGTAGATCACACCACATATGTCAGCAGGCTCACAAACGTAATGCGTTCAGTTAAACCTGCTCCTCTCCTACCAATGTCCATAAACGTCTTTGTTCACCCGTATTTGAAAACTTCTTCACATGTATTTGTTTATCGTGACTCTGTATGTCGCCCTGTAGAACCCCCATACGATGGACCATATAAAGTCATTGAACGCATGGACAAATCTTTTGCTGCAGACAAAAACAGCCGCGAAGACTCTGTTAGCATCGACCGTCGGAAACCAGCCTGCTTAGAAGACAATCCCATGAGCATAGAACTTAGCGTTCCCGATAATACACGAGTGACCGAATATCCATCATTCCTCGAAGAAATCGCTAGCACGACGAAAGCCACCGAACCTTCTATAGAGCCCTGAGAGAAAACGCGCTCGGGACGAAAAGCGATATTCCCAGAACATCTTCAAACTCATGTCACATGACGAAATGATACGATTCACCCAATTTTTATTCGTTTGTGGTATACTTTTTCTCTCAGACACATTAGTTTGTTATAGTGCATCCCGAAACACAAGTGAAAGAACCATCTTATAACCGTGCATGCCACATCCACTTAAATAATGATACATTTATTTTCGATGTTCTGTATTTCTCATCATTTTTTATGGTAGATGCATATCATATTGCAAAAGTCATTTTTCGTACATTTTCGGCAACAAGGATCTTGTTGTTTTACTTATTTCTTTCCAGCTGAAGACTCATGTCAAGTGATGCAAAAGGATGGCTTGGCGAGGTATTTGTTGTGAAGTCAGGAGTATGATAAGTCTGTATAATATCACGAATGATATTCATGATTGTAGTAGACTGGATCAGGTGGCAGGGTGCAAGAAGACACATACATATTGGATCTACAAGAAGATGTGCGTCGGTGGCACTGTGGTTAGGACTCTCGCCGATCATGCACATGGTCCGGGGTTCGAGCCCGCACCGACGCACACCTGATATCTATGGTTGGCCTGCAGAATTTGGACTACCGATATCTATGCTGAAAATTCCATACTTGTACCGAAAATACAGTATGGAATCAAGCTGTAAAGAAAAATTCTAGAAGATCTGAACATTGGTTACAGTTTAAGTGGAATGGCCCAGAAACACGAAGACTTACTGGCGAAAGCCAACAATTTGTCTGAAGATAAAGCAAAGTCAGGACTCCAAGTGCATATAGAGAATAGAGAGGTGGTGAAGATACCCTAATTGACAATTACAAACATCAATTACTATGAGGAAAATCTAAAGGAAGTCACCTCTTTCACGTATCTACGTGGCGTCATCCCGACTACAGGTGGCATGGAAGAGGATGTTGAAATCAGATTCGAAATGGATAGGTAGACCTTTATCATTCTGAAATCAGTTCTACAATCGGCATAAGGAAAAAAGTCAGATTTTCAACACCAATGGTAAGTCAACTCTTCTGTATGTATCAGAAACTTGGTGTGTCGCTGAAAGCATTTCCAACAGGTTGCAGACTTTTATTAACAGCTGCTTTTCCCCCATACTCAAGATCCGAGAGACGGAAAGGATTAGAGACAAAGAACTTTTGGAAGGAATCGACAGTGAATCTATTGCTCAGAAAATATGCCAAAGCAAATGCAGAAGGATGGAGTAGCGCTGAGGAGACCACTGGGTAACATTACTCACCACCCCGGCTTTCGAAAAGGAGTTGGGCATCCGAGGTTGACGTAGAGGAAACGGAAACTCATAGGCCAACCGGGAAGCCAGCTGAAAAGGATCACACAGAACAGGTTGAAATGGAGACACGCTATTGGAAGCCTCATTTTCGACTCTAAAATCAATGAAATGATAACAAGATTAAGTTGTTTATCGAATTGCGGAAGTTGAACACGCTACAAAATTATCAGCCAGGAAACTTCCTAGAGAAGAATCCATAGCAATTCCATGAAGTGATCAATAAAGCTAGTCGTTAAGTTCAAACTAGATTTCTTTTTTGCAAACAAATAGTCACTGCTGTCTTCGCTCAAAACTCAAAATCAGAAGGACAGCCAGAAAAGATCAGCAACAGGGATGATCTCTGGGAGCAAATCAACCAGGAACCGATTGTGCAACAAATAAGCAGGGAGAAATGGAGGTGGATTGGCCATACTCTGAGGAAACCATCAAGTGACATCAGTGGACAAGCCGTCGTGTGGTACCCGAAACTGTAGCGGCCCGTTGGTGGTCCTAGTGTGAGTTGGATAAGGTAATGTGAACTAAAGATTAAAGTATTTGGAAGGACATGGAGCCAGGTGAAATCGCCAGCAGAGTGCCGAACGCAATGGAGACGTGGAGCTGATGGCCTATGTTCCTCCAGGAATTCAGGGAAATAATAATATAATAGTCACTGTTTCATGTTTATTTCACCTACTGGTAACGTATCTGTCTGTTGTTTAATAAAGTCAGTCGATTCTAACACTGGTACACTTTTCAATGAAGTATTGGCATCATATGATACCTTTACTTGAAGTATCGATTTACTCTGTTCCCTGGGAATATTCAGAGGTATCTTCTCCACGTTTGAAATCGCAGTTATTTTTAACAGACTCAAAAGAACAAGCATATCAAAGTATTGACTTGTGACAAAATTAGTCGATTACAGACAATCTGCCTCTCAAATGTACATTACACCTGCGGATTTTAGTGAAATAATACATAGACAAATGGTTCGAGTGTTATGATATGAGGTCATTATCGATCAGCTTGTTCTTTCCCGCTATGAAATTCTTTGAGAAATCTATTTATTCATTTATTTTCAAGTGTCTTCATTGCATCCGTTTTTTAATACACATGAAATTTCGACTTCGTTGATAATCGTCAAACGTGCGAGTTGTTAGACAGTCTCAAGTAGACCCCCATTTTCAAGTATTCGTTTTGCAGGGATTTGACTGATTTCGAGATCGATCACAAACTAACTGAAGTTAGAGAAACACTGAAAACTAGGTAGTGCTCGGCCAGTTATTTCACCCTTGCTTCGGACTCTTCACCAGTAAACACCCATGACCGTAGCAGGTATCAAACTCATAATCTTCAGTTTGCAAAGTGAGCTCATAGATAATTGAGTCTATCAGTTCTAACTTTTACGAGTTCGTGATGTATTGACTGATGATATTGCCTGACGGTCCCTGCATATATCGCCAATCAGCAAGAGTTAGGATTGATGAATCACTGAATGCCATCCCACTGGCTGGATCGTACACGAGTTCGCCTTGAAATCTGAAGGTCCTGGATGTGCAGTGTTGAAGAGTCCCTAACGGAGACAAAACAACAATCCTCAATCTTGACACAGACCCATTCTAACAACAAACTCACACACACACACAATGAATGCACAAGCATCAGCCTTAACACAAAAGACCTCACTGTTCTCTATTTTACAGAGAAAGTGAGTATGTAGAAGAATGAAGTTGAATTGAGGGAAGGCTAGAGTGAAAGAGGAAAAATTCCAAAAAAAATTAATGTAACTTCCCCAACCAACCACCCACGCAACACACCCCTACCCCGACCCTCTTTTCTAAAGCTTTGAAAAGATCACATAGAGACTGTGTTTTCATCTGGTGTTATTTTCCAAGTTTATTTTAATTCTAAAAATGTGTTACTTTTCTCCCTTAAACCATCCTTATTATTTTTTGTTAAGAAAAGCAATAAAAAGGAAAGAAAAATAGGGCAAAAATATCCTATTTCATCGTTACACCACTGAATACATCATCACCAGCTCAGATCCGATCAGATTATCTTTACTACCCCTTCACAATTATTTTAATAATCAATATACACCATAATAAGGAAAGAAAAAAAGAGAAGGCAATAATGACAGGGAACAACAACAACAACAACAGAAAAAGAAGCTTATGTGAACCAAAAAGATCAAACCAAAAAACACATAATAAGTTCCATTTTGAATTGTGAACTGTTCAGTTTTGTTTGTTTGTTTTTGTTGTTGCTTTTTTTGAAAAATTCAAACTGTATAAATCCACGTTGGAATTAAAATAGATGCATTAAAAAAAAAGAAAAGAAAATAAAGTGATGAGAGCAGCTGTGTTCTCCAGTCTTTTTATTTGTGGGTTACCATGCTCTTAGGTATCATGGTGATGAATTTTCAAATGAGGCTGTCTCTCTCTATTCACTTCTCATTGGCTGACATACATACATACATACATACATCCACACACAAATACAGGCAACTACAGTCGATCGGTAGATAGATAGATAGATAGACAGACAGGTTCAGATATATAATCCAATCAGCATATTTTCAGACTTAAACACCCACACACACACACACCTGAAAGATTGAAAGGGATTCGTTGTTGTAATATGATCAATTGACACTTGAATAAGTCATTATCACATTGGATGACTAACGAACACAAAAAGAATTGGATCAATATAAATAAACATTATTCATCACTCTGAGGCATTACATCACCAACCTTTCGTTGGCTGATGAAAGTATTTTTTTAATTTAATGGTAATTTTAAAAAAAACACGAAAAACAAAATAACTCCAGCTTTAAAGAACAAAAAGAAAAAAAATCAGATTTGTCTTTCTTTAAAAAAAGTAGTTTGAGGGATTGAGAGAGAGAGACAGAAAGAAAGAAAATGCTTTGTCAATTGCGCGCTTTTACCAGTTTATTTTTAGTTGTCCGTATCGCTGATCAATATCAGAAATGACTACTCTCAATGTAGCAAAACGCATACACACGCACACACACACCAACGCTAACATACAACATATATGCACACATTTACACAGGCATACAATTATTCTTGCAAACAAGTCGGTAGTACGCAATGTGTTTGTTAAACAGACTATCAATTCAACACTATAGCAATAAAGGAAGAAAGGTTAACAAGTAGACGGAGAATTGTATTATTGTTCAACAAGAAAAAAAAGATTTTCCGGGTTTTCCTTGTTTATATTTTTACTCCATTACGGTATATTCAAAGTATCTAAAATCAAAAGAAAAGAAACAAAACTCAGGATTACTTTTAAATATTTTAGATAACGAAAATTAATTTCAATCACTATTCACTGATTTCTAACATTGAATCAAGAGATGTAAGCGTTCAGAGAAGAAGATGACCATACAGCTGAGACAACTGATGGTCTGAAAGGACAAGCACTCAGTAGTTGAGTTCTGTTGAGTTCGTCTGTTCTTATAAACTCTCATCACTCCTTTACCTAAATAAATCCTTGATCAGGTGCAAGTATTATATTCTCCTTTAACTAGTTGGGTGGGATGAGAAGCAGCCTGATAGCCGTGCTCTCTAACCTGGTTAAAGAGGAATGTAGCTCCACTGGAATACTTTGACAAAAAATAGGTCTTAACGTCATTTCAAGTTAAAGCTAATGAGTAGATGAGGTCACATTCCTTGTACCTGTTATAAATAACTAGCCTTCTAAATAAGTGCATTGACAACATCGTAACTTATAGATGTCTTCAATGAAAATAGAAAGAGGTGGCTGGAAGCAGTATGTCAGAATTCACAAACGAAAGCTTTAATTTTAGTGGCTCGTAATCATCAGCAACCTCGAAGAAACTGATGTCTCTAATGACATTCCAACCGAAGTCAACTAGTGATAATATCAATGATCATAAAATATTCCCAGTTAGCTGAGGGAATCAGAATTTCCAGCTCCAAAATACTTACTTCAGTTTTAAACACTGCTGATAGTTGTATTTCACTGCAAATTTTTTTATTTCTCTGAAATAAAGTTTATGATCAGTCAAATGTCCTTTTCACAATATTACTTCTTCGAGAAGAAACTATAACCACAATACGCTAGTGAGTGTTAAATTGTCTTATATGTAAAACATTGATAGATATTTATTTGCAAGAACTACTATGCAAAAATGTTACTGTTGTCATTAGTGTCTAAGTGAATTTTTGAATTCTCAAATATCATTCTCTACCAAGTGTATATGATGTTTTATGATGACATTGTAAATCGAGAAAGATTTCAAAAGTTAATCAGCTTACTTATAAATCTATTAAGTAGTAAACTATATTTTAACGAATTTATTCAAGCATTGAGATGCAATTGCAACGAAGTCATAAGAAAGTAAATTACTATTCTCGTTGGTTCTCCTGTAATTTCAATTGTAAATTATGAAAAGCAACTTAATAATGAATTTTTACTAAAGAGGCGAACTTCAAGGAACACATGCTGAAGTTCATAACTTGCACTGCTAAGTAATTTAAATCTGACCATTACTGTAGACCAACTGCAAAGGTCTATTGTTCACATGATAACACATCTGCACGACTTCACTCGGTGCAGCATGAACTAGTTTAAACTTATAGAATATCTAATTCCCATGATGGAGTCGTGATCATTTCTACATTGGTCACTTTTCACCTTCTTATGTGTCTTGCTCATTCCTGTCAATTTGTTTTCACCATTTAACAGACTCACTTCATTTTATTTTCATGAGTTATAATTTCATCAATTTTACGAATCTTCAAAATTAATTCTGTAGTATGAGTTTTGTGAAGATCTGATTAATTTAACCGTACATTTCGCCATGAAGTGACATAGGTCAGAGAACATTACAAGAACTAGACGACAGCATCGGGCAGATATTTCGTCCTTCATGAAGTCGTGGGTGAGTATTGCTGTGGGAGTGTCACAGCAGGACGACACGGTTGTTCGTGATGATATGCCACCCTGATATGTTGTATAGTTTTGTTCGTGTATTTAACTAAGCTTATATTCAAAGAATTACGAAGAATAAATTCGTGTGAAGAAAACTATTAAAATAACACAGCTGACAGTATTTAGCATGTTGGATAGCCTGTTTCAAATGTACTATGAGATTATGTTTGCCAAAATCTACTCCATTCACTGTCCAATGTATTTGTAAATACCTTGACAACATGTTAAATACCTTGGAAGTTGGAAAACTCGTTAGTAGGTTAATTTTTACGCACAGAAATGTCCTATTGTAGCACTCCGAGGGGAAGTATGGGATTCCAAACTTTATAGCATGAAAGACAATTGTACTGAAGCTGTTTGTATATATGTTTGTGCTCGTATCAAGATGTAACACCTTTCATATGAATTCATTCTAAGTAATCAGCAACATATATAAGTAGACACATCGATGACAATGTGGAAAGGAAGTGTATCAAATGAACACCATAACTCTGATTGTTACAAGTATTGATTTCGATGACATTTTGTTTAATCAGTTCGAGGATTTCATCTTGAGCTGACGTCTGTTAGATAACCATTGAAAAACCTGGATGGAGTACTCGACAGTCAGTTGTTTCGTCAGCCTAGTTTGAGACTCTTCAAGAGTACACATCCATCGCCAGGATTCGAACCCACGACCTTCTGGTTACAAGGTGAGCTCGTATACCATTAAGCCACTGGGACCCGATCCAATGGCCCATGAATTCTAACTTCTGCCAATTCACCACATACCGCGACCCCTAGCCAATGTCTTTGGCGAGTATTTTTCCTCACACCCGACCTGTTGCACCCTACCCGAATAGGGCAAGTCACTAGTGAACATCTCATGGATATTCAAGTGTTGGTTTGCTATCTCAGTGACTAGAAGATGTGTGTTATCCATTGCTGAATCAATCCCAGGACAATAAGCTGCCTGTGCCTGCCATTATGCAGAAGTGTATTCATTAAAGAAAGAAAAAGAAACCCAACCAATTATGCTTTTTAGTGAGACCTAACACCCTCCTCCTCTATCATTAGCTCTATAAGTGACGGTATCCGGTTTACTGCTAAGCTGTAAATCAGATACATTTAGAACAACTGTGTCCAAATGCTAGTTGATATATATATATATATATATATATATATATATATATATATATATGTATTTTGTTTTTGTAATTTATTTGATGAACAGTCTAGCAACATCCGGAATATCATATCAGTCTATTATCCCACTTATTAGGCTAATTAATACAGCATACAACAGTTTGGTGGGGTAAGGGAGGCGGGGAATTATGATTATGAATTAACCATCCCAATTCTTGTTTGCTATTTGATGCGTAATTATCTGAATTAATCTACTACTCTTCAGTTGTGTTTATTTCCAATTTAATGCACAATCCAGTGGTATTGTTTGAAATGCTTGAGTATGCCTCAGTAACAACATATATAGGTATATAGATACATATGTACGCACAGGTGCCTTCCTGTTTTTCATCTCCCTATGATGTACACACTGTACATGAAACTGTATCCCCTTCTATGTCCATTAGAGAAGAGTAATACTGGAAAGAAGAAAGATAATCTGATAGACACTAACTAATACTAATAAGGTCATATAATTAAACAACAGCTTGTTAGAGTTGATGGAATAATAACAACCAATGCTGTCAAGTCATTCAAATGCATATAGGAAGAATTATAAGTGAACGAGAATATGGACACATTATTTTTTTATTCAAATTTATATAAAGAACCACTTAGCAACACATCTGATGCAGTCAGCGTTTGAAAACAAAGCCGAAAAAAGGTTTGTTTCTTACTTTAATATACACTATCATGCGTATTGTATTATATTATTATTATTTTATCCTTTAGTTCCTAGAGGAACACAGGGCTTCAACCACTCATCTCCATCGCGTTCTGTTTTCTACCAACTTTTTCACACCACTTCAAGTCTGCCCACACGCTTTCATCTCCTCTTCACACCACCTCCTCCAAGTCACCCTTGCACTGACAACTAACTCGCCGCTTCCCTTTCGGGTTCCACTCGAGCAATGAATTGTCTAGTGATGTCACTTGATGGTTTCCTCAGAGTATGGCCAACCCAATCCATCTCCATTTCTTCCTGCCTATTTGTTGCACAATCGGTTGTTCCTGCTGTGTTGGTTCTCTCATTGCCAGAGATCCATCACTGTTTCTGATCTTTTCTGACTGGCCATCTGATCTTGAGTGGAGTATTGAGCGAAGACAGCTGTTAATGAAGGTCTGGAGTTTGTTTGAGATGCTCTTCATGACGCGCTGGCCAAGTCTCTGATCCGTATAGTGAGTAGCACTGACTTCACATTGGAGTTGAAAATCCGGATCTTATTCTCATTTTGATTCTGAGTGATGTTGACCTCCACACAGACTTGAGAGTAATGAAAGCCTGTCTTGCTTTTCCGATTCTGGCTTTGATATCGTTGTCAGTTCCGTTGGCCTGTAGTTGAAACGATGCTTCCCAGGTAGGTGAAGGAGGTTGTTTCTTTCATGCGTATTGTAGTAAGCACCAAATGTCAGATATCTGTAAACCTGCTTACACACACAAATTATATCCTCAAGCTTTAGGAAAACAGTAATGAAGAGTAGTTATATATAATTTACTTCATTCCAAAACAGTACTTGTGATACAGAATGGAACTCTCAGCATTTCACTACAGTACTGCATCCAGTTAGTACATTACCAATAAATAAAATTCTTCACAGATTAAGGATAATCGCGGTTAGTTATGACAACAACATATTAGCATGTCGGTAGCAAAGCCAAAATTGAACAGTGTTTGAAGGTGTTAGAAACGTAGATGCTAGAATATTTATTGGCGTAAGCAGTAACAAAAGGTCGAGATAAGAAGAGTGTGAGAGAACGAAGAAGAATGTTTTAAATAGAGTTTGTAAGGAAAAAAGAAACAAAGCAGCACATAACAACAGAAAAAGAAAAGGGAAAAGAAAAGATAGAAAACGTTGTACCTATAAATGATATGAGTTTGAAAGACCAGATCCAACTGTTCTACTGACTATTTAATAAGTTATAGGTATCACGCTTGATGCTTTCTTTATCCCACAGAACTCGAGCTAAGTAGCGTATGGTTGAGTTTTTGTACTTGCTAGTGAGAGCATATAATTTTCTATATAGGCTTCTGGTCCTGTCTGAGGAGATACAAGGGGAGAGTTGTGAATGAAGAGGGTGGTGTGAGTTAGACAGATAAAATGGATTTAGCCCATTTTTCACATGAGT